CATTCGAAATGAAGGTCCCTCTAACAATGTTATCTCAGGAGATTCATCGAAACCCAGTTTTTCTTCGTATCTACATTTTTCTTCACATTTCTTAAATTATTTTTGTGGCCTCCGACGTTGTTTTAATTAGGTCTCTTTAATATAATGTGATTATTATACAATAAGCGAATTTATAACTTTCAATTCCATAATAGCATTAGTGGTCATAGCTGGTTTGCATTCAAAGCATATCCAAATCATATATCTTGGCCAGGGCACTCCTTGACTTCGCCATAACCAATTCACACTTGGGATATATACTCGTACGGCCCTGTGTCTTTCGTCTCCTGTATCCTAAGGTATTTTGGAACTGTAACACAATTCGATGAATATCAATCTTTTGAATATTTTGGATGGTTAAATTCTAAGCCAAAAAATCAGCCTTGATGCTGGCATATTTCATTTAGACTGGAAGGGATTCGTAAGATGTTCTCTTCTGAAGCCGAAGGAAAATTGCTTTATAGTTGTGAGTGTAGATTTGTGCGAATAAGTCCTCAGCGCACCGTTCCACGACCCCGATAATCTCATGCTTTACATTAATTCATAAAAGAACCAAGATAAGAAAGGTGACCGACTTGAATCATACCTTATAGTTTAAATTTCTCCACTTACTGAGACACCTCATGATTTGTTTGGCTGTGCTTCTTTGATAATATCTGTCAAACGATGGACGAAAGCTCTGCAAGAGTTCATCGCAGTCGTGGAGAGATGCGCCAAGAACTTATTTTCGAAAATCTGCCGTCACGGCTCCAAGGCAATTCTCCTTCGGCCTCCGGTGAGACCAACTTTAGAAACCCTTCTACTCGCCTCTTCAAATAATACGAGAGCCATGTCAACATCAATGTCTTCACGGATCCTTCGAGCGCTAGCTTCTCTTCCCAAAAATAAATCTTGTCTTTTTTTATTATTACAAGATCAGTCATAACGAAATATGATCGTCCACTTAAAAAATGAATATTTGATAAATATTTTAATGTAATTATATTGTTTGGGAGACTTTCATTTAGTATTAAAGTTCATAATGAAAGGATTTGTTGGTTGATCTCACCGAAAGAGGAAGGCCTTTTCTTATTGTTCTTTAGCAGTTTGGCTTTAATACAACGTTTTTAACGACACAGTTTATGAGGTTTTCTCTCTCATTTAAGATAAAACTATGCACTTTGATACGAAATGAGTCTCTCCAAAAATATTGTCTTAAGAGATTCGTTAAAACCCAGTTACTTTTCCTAAGATTATTGATAAAAAAAGCAGTTAACAACTTGTGTCGTTGCATCCGAGACTAATGCTGAATTCATTTCAGATAGGCTGTACTTTACGCTTCTAGACATAATTGCTAATCTGTCCATGCTTACTTCTTTCTTGATTTATAAAAATCTTTCCTCATTAAAAAAAATTGTGCATGAGATTACCCATCATTTTTTCCCAGATCCAATACTAGTTATGCATATCAGGACAATTATTCGTTACAACTTTACTTAAATGAACGTGTGCACTTAAAGCAAGGAAGATATTATGAAATGGTATTTATTAGAAAATCTAGTATTTATAACTAAAATACACTTTAAGATAAATGACGCTAGTAGTTGTAGGATCCGGTTAGATTCTGGGAGATCATGCTTTGGAGTATTTCATTTTGAAAGATATTGTGTACTCAACTGTATTCACTCTATTTCTTTTAAGGTGATGAATTCTCGAAAATCTGCTTGTAAATGGAAAATAAATAATTTATTCGATTTCCATGGTAAATACAATATTGATTCGTCGAAATCTTAAATTCTTCTCTACACAAGGGCACTCGTGGCAGATTGACGTAGTGGTTAACTTTTCGAGACTACGCTGAACTACCCGGGTTCGAGTCCATCTAGATGTGTTTATGAGACCTAGGCGAGGTTGAAACTGAAGTCCTTTTCTATTTGGATGATAGCACCTTTTGGGAAGCACGGCTGTGGAATTTAATGGAAACATGAGGCCTACTTATATGATTGTGGAAGAATTAACTATCAGTCCTTCATTGCCTTAAACTAAATAGGATGAAAGTACTTTTTTCTATTTTTCTTGGGACTGCGCACATCGAAAATATATTTAGGCTTTTCTAAATCATTGCTAAGCTGAAACGCACTAAACATATTAATTCTTAAATGTGATACCAACTGGACATCGCTCCTGTTGAGTATTAGATAGGTCGCACAAATCCATGCTATTCTCCTTACTTACTGGTCTACTTTCATTTATACTAAGTGTGTTTAGATACTATTAATACTTCTTGTATAAGAATTCTGGTCATCCTAAACCGATTAACGTGATAAGGGCTGATGGTAGAATTTTCCTATAATTATATGAGCAGGTCTCACGATGCCAGTGAAATTAACTTAGCCTTAGATGAACCGTGATTTTGACCTTGCCTGAGTCTCAGCAACGGGATTCGAATTTGGGTAGTTAACCGTTTATTTTCTACATATCACTACTATCCCACAGCTCCACAAGTGCTAATGTGTAATTTTTAAAGAAGCTAAATCAAATAAGAGACTTTGGTATTCTAAGCACGAGGCTTGCCTTAAAAGTCACCTTTTACCTACCACCCACTGGCACTCATTAGTATGGCATAGTAGTAATGTGTAGAGATCATACACTGCACTCATCATCTTCGATTCTCGTTGCAGTAGATAATGAGACTTGAGCGATCTCTAAATTTTAGGCCTACTCATATCACTATGAGGAAATTTTTCATTAATCAATACTGTAGTACCTTTCATTTCCTTTGAGCTGACGAGTCAAAGGGATTCGTAGATTAGCCTCATCGGATATCGCAGGAGAGTTGCCTTAGACCTTTGTATGTTTAATTATGCGAAGAAGACCTCGGTTCACCGTCCTACGACCCTGATGACTCCGTGCTGAGCTTTTGTCGGTCCCGTGACGGGCATTGTCAGAGTCAGAAACAATTATTCACGAACAATCACTAAAATACCTTAGCCAAGAAAGGTGGCCAGCTGAGATCCTACTTATTTCTTATACCTTACTTTGTGATCTTAATGAGGCATTCCATGATTTGGTAGGCTATTTTATGCTTGTCCTGCATGCATGTAAGCAGGTCAAGGTGATGCAGACAGGGAAGGGGATATTTTCACAACTTTTGTGTATGTAAATAAACTAGAGTATGATCCAGTAGTCCTGGGTCTTGTTACAGCTTCGTGGATGCGTGCTTGAGTGTGCATTTAACAACCCCGAATTAGTTGACAATTTTAGATTAAAAAACAAGATACAGTCTAGTCTAGTCTTCTCTTACTCAGTGGTTCTTCCTTTTTCTTATCTCTCTCTTTCATTTTATTTAGAAGCCAGAGATAGTTCTTACTTAATTTCCTACATTCATTCCTCTTATCTAGGATGTAATTTGCCTTGTTAATTTCAATCGACTCCCTGATCTTCCGCTCAGCTCTGAAGCTTCCATGTCCGGCAAAACGTTGAGATTTAGTTGACTCTATCTCGTGTCCTGTAGCGAACACCTCCTCAGCCGCTTTCGATTTCTGAATCCATAAACTCTTGCAGGAGGTTCTGTATTCTGATAGCCTCTTATGTATGAGTCGACAAGTTTGCCTTTCCCCATAAGCACTTCCACATGAATACAAAATCATATAACAACCTGATCTGCAGAGGGCGTCGGAGGATTCTCTGAAGGAAGGCATGGTCGAGGAAAGCGTTTTTGTTTATTTATACATTGTCTTCATACTCAATTTCTTCAATAATTAGCCTATCTTTGTTGAAAGATTGCAGGATGGTAGCATTAGAAATCTGGACGAAGAGTTGTCTAATTTTTTGTTTTGGCCAAAATAATGGCTTATCTTCACCCTACTTCTCAGTTGTTTGAAATTGTTAACAATTAATCCTACAGGATAATTGTTCTCAACTAAAATTTTTCTTAGACTTACTAACTCCTGCTTTTGATTATTTGCATCCGCTAGCCGTAAACTCCTTATTATAATTGATTTCACTACGCTTACCTTAATTCCATAATTATATTTCGAGAAAAAAATTAGGAAGGAAACCAGCAATCCTCGATCATGCCTTCTTTTAGACAATCTTCCGACGCCATCTGTAGATCAAGTTGTTATAAGGTTTTGTGCTCATGTCGTGATGTTTATGTAGAGGAAACGTGTTTACCCATACATAAGAGGCTATCAGAACACAGAACCACCTGCAATGGTTTATGGATTTAGAAATAGGTGGCTGAACCTGTGGTCACTACAGGACACTAGATAGAGTAGTCTATATACAAACTTTATGCTGCGAATGGGGACTTCACAGCTATGCGGAAAATCAGAGTCGATTGAAATTAACAAAACAAATAACATCTTGAATAAGAGGAATGAATATAGGAAACTAAGTAAGAACTATCTCAGGCTCCTAAATAGAATAAGAATAAGGGAGAGAGAGAGAAGAAAAAGGAACATGAAGAGCTACTGAGTAAGAGGAGAAGACTAGACTAAACTGGATCTTGTTTTTGAACCTAAAATTGTCAACTAATTCTGGGTTGCTGCTGTAACAAGACCCAGGACTACTGGATCATACTCCAGTTTATTTACATACACAAAAATTGTGACCATATTCACTTCCCTGTCTGCATCACTTCGACCTGCTTACATGCATGTAGGACAAGCATAAAATGGCCTACCAAATCATGGAATGCCTCATTAAGATCGAAAAGTAAGGTATAAGAAATAAGTAGATCTCATCTGGCTACCTTTCTTGGTTAAGATATTTTAGTTATTGTTCGTGAATAATAGTTTCTGGCTCTGACGATGCCCGTTACGGCACGGACGAAAGCTCAGTACGGAGTCATCGGGGTTGTAGGACGGTGATTTGAGGTCTTCTTCGCATAATTCAACATACAAAAGTCCAAGGCAACCCTCCTGCGATATCCGGTGAGGCCAATCTACGAATCTCTTCGACCTGCCTTCTCAAACAAAATGAAAGGTACGCCAGTATCAATTTATTAAAGGATTCTTCGAAACACAGCTTATCTTTATATCTTGATTGATCCTTCTTATCATACAAGCTAGTGAGAAAAGTCCCATTATCTTGGTATTTTGACAAAATTATACTTTACTCGTTTAGCAGTAGCATACTTTACTTAGGAATAACTTAGGTACTTCAACTCAATTTTAATATGCCTTATTTTTTCCTAACTCATGTTTCTTTCATTTTTTATGTTCGAACGTTCTAGTTAGTAGCGGTGCCAAAGCAGCAGCAGAAGCTGTCGCCATGGCCACTGCACTTGCCGTTAACGCGGCTGCGGCCGCATCTACGGCTGTAGCTGTGGTCGCTGGAGCAACCGGGCAAATGATCGCTACAGGCCCAGAGCGAGCTGGCATTGCATTTGTGAGTTTATCGAGTTTGTCATCATCTCCACCACCGATAGCAGATGCCGTTTGCAGAACTTATGCCCCCTTTTTTTCCACCTGCTTGTCAATTGGTCGCTGCTAAACATCAAAATCACTGTCTGGCTGTCTGTAATCTTGCTGCTTAAAGCCTTCAATTTCCGTCTCCGATTACTCCATATTCAAGGATTTAAAGCAGATGATGCCCATGTCAATGCTTCAATCCAATGACTTAATTATCTTCTTCCTAATCTTCACTCACAATGTGTCTCATTCTCCGGGGCCCTGTGTCCGGCTTAAGTCAACCGCTTGTGTGAAAATGCACCACTTCCCTTTTTTCCATTTAATGTCCCTAAGCACACAGACATGCACATTAGGGACCTATTTCTGATAAACTTATATCGTTAGCCTAACACCGAGCACAATCTGCCTGTTAATTTCCTTTAATTTCATATCTTCTATGCTACAGGTAGACCCACACCAGTACATTTTTTGGCTGATTCCAGGATTGACCCCTCTCACTGCAATCGCCTTTTTTTGACTTTTCATAATTCATCATGAGTCGCTCCCTGGCGATGTTGTAGAACAACTATCATGAGTCCAAGCATTCTCTTTTTGATATCTTCGCTGATTCTCCAAGTCTGTCCAGGCAGCACGAGAAATTGTCTCTGATCCTTCTCTCTTACAATATTCTGTTCATCAGGTTTCTTTGAACGATGATGCCCACAGCTTCTCTGATATTC